GCTGTAAGATCTACGTCAAAATAGTGGTCTTTGTGTAACACAAAACGTGGGTGGACTTTTTCAATTTTTAGAATCCCGATATGCCTAGTTGCCATAGGACATTTTGGCAGGCAAAGACGGAACAATATTCGGTCCATCTGAAAGTTTACTTTATTGGCACAGTTTATTACCTTGAATGGTGATGGTTTACTGCGACTATTCTTTAATCCATCTCTCCACTCGTCCGGTATTTCCGTATAAGATTTAGAATTCACAAGACTCCTGTCCTTATCACATTCTAGGTAAGAGTGTCCACGAATAGGAAATATCACTATCACTAGGTCGAATCAGTTAAGTTTGTGCACTACGTAGTGGAGAAAGCAAATTACCGTAAAATTTTTGTTTTTCCGCCGCACGACTTACAAAAAATTATTAGGTGGCGTATGTTAGAATATGCAAAATATGCAAAAGAAAGTCCAATATCGAACAAACATCATCGGCACCCTTTCCGGCAACACTTTGGAGCTTACGTATAACTACGTTTAGTTAGAAGGTTGTCGGAACATGATCGTCATTCTCCGTTATCTTGTATTCTTCCCCTTTATTATCTTCTGTACAGTGATCGTTACTATACAAAGGAAACCATGTTTGGGTTCTCCCCGCAAAATTCTTAAATATAGCGCCAATATCTAATTTCCTACTAAAAATGGACTCTGATCATTCTTTCCTGTGGCCCTTTAAGATGTAATGTGTCATTTACGATTGCCATTTTTTACAATTCAAAGAATTTTGGAAAATCATAACTGTATATACCTCACCACTCCACATTTTTTTAATAATATGAATCTAAAAAGATTAAGTACTGTAAATGGATTACTATGCAGAAAGCTAGAAATGAAGATTTTTTGAGTAATATTTAGGTCGAAGTGGCAAAATTTACTTGGCAAAGAAAAACTTGAAGCATTTGAGATGTGGCTTTATAGAAGCATGCTGAGAATATCATGGACAGCAAGGATCACGAACAAGGAAGTTCTAGGAAAAATGAAGAAGGAACCAGAGATTGTGCTTACGATCAAACGCATAAAATTGCAATATCTGGGACACGTTACGAGAAATCAGCACCGTTACTCCCTGCTACAGTCTATATTGCAAGGTAAAGTCAAAGGTAAGCGAGGACCCGGTAGAAGGAGAATATCATGGCTGCGGAATTTAAGAACATGGTTTAAGAAAACCTCAACGGAGCTGTTTCGAGCCGCAGCGAGCAAGGTTATGATTGCCAATATGATTTCCAACATCCGAAACGGATAGGAACCAGAAGAAGAAGGCAAAATTTATGAATAATGGTATGTTCAACATAGATAGTAATTGTCACTACCAGGCATTCAAAAAACCACATGTAAAAGGCATATTAAGAAAGATGGTAATATTCGGAGTGTATAAAAAATAATAAGTAGAACATTAAAAATGTTGCCATGAAAAGAAGATATATACGTGAATGTATGGTAATAATTAGTGAGACTGTGAGCCAACAACATAAGTTTCTTGTGCTGGACATCAAAATAAAACAGCGAAACTAAATCAAAATAACGATTATATCATACAACGATTACATAATTATCAATATCTAGGAACAAAGGAAGATGCGATTCAATCAAACCACATAGATTAACAGCCTCATCGAAATGGCAAGAGTTACATTTATCAAAATGACATCGTTTCTTATTAATAGGAATCTTAATTTAAAACTAGTAATGCAAATGGTCCGATTCTACTTCTTCTTCTTTTGGTGCCTATTCGTTTCAAATGACGTAGTACATGACTGTACTACGTCTTGTCCTGGAGCTCTCTATTCTTTTAGTGATATTATGGCTGCTCGTATTTCTGCCACTAGTATAGGTGATCCTGTTTCCCCAGGTATTGGGGACTGGTTCTCCCTCTCATCAAAAAATTAATTTCGTATGAATTTTTCCAGGTATTATCAATACTCTATTTGTCAACTATTACCTATCCGTTGTCATTAACAAGTTTACTTACTCTTTTGTTTTTAGATTTGCCTGTAATTTCTCTTACTCTTTTATGCACGTGCATAATCATCGTATTTGTAGAATTTCGATTTCTTGGCATTTTTTCTCCAGTTCTTTCTGTTTGATTTCTCTGATCTTTCTCTGTATATCTCGTTGTAATGTTTTTATACATAGAGTTATTGTTCTTGTTTTTCCTTCTTTTTCCATCAGCTGCAGAATCTCTGTCGTCATCCATGTTTTATTCTTACCTTCTTCGTCCTTCATAAAATTGTCTTTAATGTCGTTTTCTTAAGGGATTCTATCTTCTCTTCTGTGCTTTCCGTTGTATTATTGACTTCTTTGAATTTTCTATTTATTGTTTTGCTGTATATTTCTTTTACTTCACTACATTTCAGTTTTCTCATTTCATGTTTTTTTACAGTTTTTCCGCGTGTTTTCTTTAACTTGGTTCTATACATGCCCGCTAAAGGATTGTGGTTAGATAGAATATCAGCGCCTGGGTAGGTTTTAACACTGTTGAAACTATTTCGATACCTTTTGTTAACAAGTATATAGTCTATTTAGTTTCTTATAATAACGTCTTCTCCGTTATCTCCAAGTGCTTTCCACGTATACAGTCGTCTAGGTGGTAGTTTGTAAAATGTGTTTAGCACGATTTAGTCATGTTCAGCTGCAAAGATACTCATTATTTCTCCTCGTTGATTTCACTCTCCTAATCCATAAGGACTAATATGTTGCCCTTCTTTTCCGTTACCTATTTAAATTTCCCATGACTATAAGGACTTCATGTCTCAGTATATCTCTTATTAGGTTGCTTATTTGCTTGTAAATCATGGTGATTCCTCATCACTGTGGGTGCATAGACATATGTTAGTGTTCATCGGTGACGTATTTATTTATAACAAGAGGATTATATCGTTCACTGGAATAAAGTTGCTGACATGTTTGGCTATACTTTTATGTGTGATAATTCCGACTCCATTTTCATATTTTCTGGTCCTGGGTAGTATACTCTGTATCCTATGTGACAACTTAAGTCAAGCCACCTCATTTCGCTTGTGCCCATTATTGCTATTTTCATTCGTTCCATTTCTTTGATTGCGCATTGGGTTTTTCCTGATTGAGCTATTGGCGACGTGCAAGTACTTGGAGGGGATACGAGAAACGATCGTGCGCGAGTAGCGGAGAAATTTTGCATTTTTTAGTGCACATTTCATAGATTTCATAAATTCATATTGTCAATTGTCATATTTCATATTCGTTTTGTTTATTTAGATTTACACCTTCTGTCTCTGAAGAAAATGGGATTTAGGAAATGCTGTGTTATAAATTGTAAAAATACAACAAAAAATTGTCAATTTAAGTTTTATTCGTTTCCAACTTCGAAGCACAAAGCTACTACAAAGAGAAAAGTGGATTTATATCATAAAAAAGCATAAGTAACATAACCCAAATTATGCATTATTCTTGCGCCCGATTTTAAAGTCAGTTTGAAATAAATAATAAATAAAAGTTCACTTTTAAGTGTAAATTTTAGTTTCATAACACTCACTTAGAGTTCATTTTAACCCAAAAATTCAAGTTTAATGTTTAAATTTTATTTTTTTGAAGTTTACAAGAATGCATCAAGTTCAAGTTTTTCTGAAGATGCATTAAGATATATTCGCTGTCCAAAAGTTTACAGGGAAAGAATTAATTGTTCAAACCAATATGATGATATCATGGGCTTAACCTGCTAATTTATGCATTAGCATTATTTATGGTAATTTATTTTTCTTAATTCTTCCATTATTTTTTGACATTTGCCACTACTAAAGCTTTTCCCTTTGACTCAGTACTTGGTTGAAAAGTTATTTGGTGATTTACTTTCTCAAATCCAGTTTTTATTATTGAATCCATATTAACAGTAATGCTGTAATTCAATAATATATTTATTTGCATTTACGCTACGCTACATCAACGTTTACCTTTTAATAACATACCGACATAACCTTAATCTTACTTTTTCTTCTTATTCTTTTTTGGGACCACGTCCTTGACAGTTATCCGGTTACCTCGATCTAACATAAAAGCGCAGTAAATTTTGCTGATTTACGACACCAGCTGTCGCTGTTCCGAACTTGCACGGTCCCAATAGTCCTAACGTTCCAAGTGAATATTCTCTTCAGACAATTCATGCGGATTTTTCTTCCGTGAATCGTTGAGCTCCACTGAGTTTTCAGAGCGGCAGCATGAACGACCAAAATAGCTTTAATAATTGTTAACCTCCGACGGGAGATGACACCATAAGAAAAAGAAGAAATCAAAATATCGGAGAGTGCCACAAAAAATCAAGTATAGGTTATTAAAAGATGAGTTCAGTGCAGAATTAGTAGAGAAAATGACCTCGATAATGAAAGCAAATCCTAATATAATTTAGAAGAATATGATCATTATTAGAGATACGGAAAACTTCAGAAAATAAGTTTGATAATAAAGCTTGAGGACGGAGTTCACGGAATAATACAGAAGAAAAGAAAATTAAACAAAAAGCCGCAAGAAAATAGATCGGACCCAGATCTTCAAAACTATAAGGGCGGCAAAAAGAAAGCGAAAGTAGCAGTAGCAAAAGCTAAAGCAGAAGTTTAAACAAATCTATACGATCAACTTGATACCAGAGATGGTAAAAGGATATATAAAACAGCCAAACATAGAGCAAAGAAAGGAAAAGATTTTAATCAGATCAGACGTAAATTTCAAGAAACGGACACAGTAACAGCAGCGATAACCAAAATAACAAACGAGGAAGTTGTCCAAGCACTTCAAAAAATAAAGAAACGTGAAGTCATTGGACCGGATAATATTCCTGGGGAAGTTTTCAAAAAATATCAAAATGTACAAATAATTCTGGGATAAATTTCTGTGCAGAAAAGTCATCTAAAATAACCGATTTTGACTAAGATTTTTGCGTGAAATTTTACAAGCATAACAAAGATAATAATCTAAAAAAGGGCTTACCTTTAAATTTCTTACAGTGGTATAATTTTGATTTTTCGCAGATGTGAGTATTTCTAAAGCTATTCCTGGATTTCCTTGATTGTATGCTATACCTGCGCAAAAAGTACATGCCCGTCTCATAGGAAAATGGCCAACATCTTTCAACTCTTGCCACAACTTTAATGCGTATTCTAAGCTTTCTTTGGAATTCTGAAAAATGTAACAATTAATCACTTATTACCTTCAGAATAATATTAGTCACTTATTATGTTTATGTTTACATAATAAAACAAAAGAAATAAATCAAACATTACATTTTACAAAACAGTGTGGATTGAAATAAATAGCTCGTCCAACAAAAAGCTAAAAATGATTCTAAATTTTTTTTCGGATTCTTGGTTGAAAATACACTCATGGACAAAAATATGGAATATTTTGGAATTTTCAATTTTTTTTTTTTTTTTTGTAGACACCATTAGTTCAAAATAATTTTATTACTGATGCTACTCATATAGTAGGCTGATGTATTCAACTGGTTTGAAATATTTGGACGTTTATTTTGACGTTTATTCAGCGTTTAATGTCATTCGTACATTTCATCATAAAAAAACTTTTTCACGTAAAGGGAAAATCATACCAATTCGGTTATTTTTCATTTAATTTAATAAGTTTAATTAAATATTGTTTTGATTTAACAAGTTTAAAATCAGTATGCCACCAATTCGATATTGCGATGAAGCCCAATGAGCACAGATTGTAATTATGTACGAGGAAGGATATGCACAAAAGGATATCGCACGACGTCTCAGAAGTCACTCTAGAGTTTCGAATACTTTAAAAGGGTACCGTGAACAGGACATTTTGTACGAAGGCCTGGTCAAGGACGCCCAAGGTGTACAACCGCAATTGATTGCCGTTTTTTGGTTTTTAATTAAATCAGAAATGAGCTATTAAATGTTAGACAAGTTAATGTAATTTCAAAAACAGTTAGACAAAGATTAAAAGAATCAAACTTAAAGCCCAGACGCCCCGCCAAAGTTCCACAACTTCTCCACAATCATAAAGCTCGTCATTTATAATTTGCAAGACCACATATTCAGTAAAATATCGACAACTAAAAAAATATTCTTCTCACTGATGAGACCAGAATCTTATTATGTAAGTCAGATGGTCAAAACCACGTCTACAGAAGAGTTGGAGAACGATTCACTAGCTGTAATCTCACTTAGACCGTTAATTTTGGAGGTGGTGGCATAATTCTTTGGAAAGGTATTAGTTGGGAGGGACGCACCGCCTCGTAGAAGGGATGGGACGGATGACTGGTGAGTCTTACGTTTAAAACATCCTGCAAGATCATGTTTTGCCATATGTTGGATACATTGGATATGAAAAATTTATGTTAATGCACGATAATGCTCGACCACATGCCGCTGTAATAGTCCGTAATTATCTTAATGAGATCCAAATTTGAAGATTGGATTGGTCACCGTTTAGCCCGGATTTAAATCTAATAGAGTAGATATGGGATCAACTAAAACGCCTCATACAACAAAGAAATCTCGTTCCAAATACGATAGCGCAGCTTCGGGTTGCTGCACAAGATGAATGGAATGCAATTTCCCAAGGATATGTCCAAAATTTACTTGCAAATATGCCAAGAAGGATACAAGCAGTAATAAACGCTAGAGGGGTGAATACTCGCTACTGATCATGCAATTCTTTTAGTTAAAAAGACTTGTTTAGGTAGTTTTAATTAGAATTTAAGTTTAGAGTAAAATAACCTTATTTACCTAATATTAAGCATTTATTTTTTCCCCATTTTTTCCGCATAAAAACTTAAAATTCTTCATTAAACATTGTTAAAATAAACTCTATTTCACAATAAATGACTTGATTGACGTGAATTTATATTGAAAAAACAAAAATTAGAAAATTCCAAAATATTCGATATTTTTGGCCATGAGTGTAATACATTACCGGAAAAATTACTCCCCATTTAGACAATATTTTTACGTAGGTAATGTGTATCTCGTTTTTGCATACATAATTACCAAAAATAAGATATTTATGTACATTAACAATATTTTTGACCAATTTATATACCAATTTATACAGGGTGTTTCAAAAAGGTATGTCAACTTACCTTAGTACAAAAGTGTACACAAAAAAAGTTACGGCCCTTTGAAGTTTTTTTTGCATTATCTGCTAAACTACTTGATATTTTGTAATAAAAATGGACACGTTACTTTCTTGTTCTGAAAGCATTTTTCATACGAAAGAAACAACAAAATCTAAGCGCACAGAAATATTTGAAGGGGGATGTGCAGCCCTAAATCCCCCAAACTTTTGGGTACGTTCAAATCAAATGAATTTTGTGGCATCATTAGTTTAACACATTATTGACTCACTTTTATTTTATAGACATTTAACACACTATCTAAAAATGATCAATTGTTTTCGTATGTCAAATATTTAATATTTATTTTATTTTATATAGAAGCACTAACAATTTTATGGCAAAACTTTGTTCGTTGGTCAGCCATTTTTTTAGTAGGTACAGTTTTTGGTAAACAAACATGTTAGGTTAGGTTAGTAATATAAATAATCATAAAGTGCATGTGAACACATAAAGATAAAAAATACTAAAGAAAGTCTAGCTACTGAAAAAAAAAGAAATACGAAAATAAAGAAAAAAGTGCCTTAATTAGCAAATAAGTTATTTTAATCGATTATTATTATGATACCAGTACGAAAGGGGACAACGAAGCGATGTCGTTATGTAGTATGTAAGAGTGATACACGTTCTAAATCATTTAAGGACAATATTATTTTATAAATTTTCCAAAGCCTTTATTTCTTTATAAATGACGTTATTTCTTTATTAAATAAATAATATTTATTTAACAAATATTTGTTTATAATAAACCATTGACATATGACGTATAATCTATATTATTTAGTATTAATTTTTGTGAATGGGCGGTGCTGCAGTTTTCGCATATAATATATTAATAAAATCAAATAATACTATTAGTATTCTAGTATTATATCTTATAAATACATGCCATTAGTTTAAATACTCTACAATATTAAAATATACTTTTTGTTGCAAGATATTTCGGATGTAATCTTCTAGGTATAGTTGTATACAGGGTCGGACTTATATAAATACATATAAGTAATACACATAATACTTTTATAATAAAATATATATTTACCTGAGTGACAAATACAAAAAAATAATAATTTTAAACTTAACTACCGTCTACATTTAAATCGGTATCACTATCATCGCTATCGTTTAAATCTATAACTACCCTATTTATAATGTTTTGGAACTGTAAGTACTTTTTCTTCTAGTTTTTTGACATGCTCTATACATTTTTTTAAATTATCTGCTGTAACATTATTACATTCGGTCTTAATTAAATCTACAACAGTCGAAAATGATTTAATAGAATTATTATTTTTCCTCACATTACTTTTTAATTGATACCACAACACTTCTATTGGATTCAGTACACAATAGTAAGGAGGTAATCTTAATACTTTATGGCCATAATTCTCAGCTAACCTGTAGATAACATAATTCTTTTCGCATTTCATTTAACTAATTTTAGTAGTTCTACAAGTTGTTTTTTTGTGTAAAAATCCATAAAATATATTTCATGTTTTGATAAAAATTCTTGAATATCAGCTTTGTTTGAATTAATGTTTGGAATTTTACTCTTTTCAAACAAAGTACTATCCATATCTTGATGATAATCTAAGCGCCAATCACTTACACTTTTAGCAGAGAGTAATAAAGCATCTTCTACCCATCCTAATTCTCCCCTACAATGTAAAATACAAACTCTCTTTCCTCTAGAGGGAGGAACATTGGTGATGCAATTTTTACTACCATCGGTCGAACATTTTTTAACTACATCGTGGGTGTCGAACCAAGTTTCATCCAAATAATACAAGTTTTTCCCTTCGCTCCTAAAGGACCTTAGGCTCTCCAACTAATCGAACCTCCACTTTATTAAAGGGCTGGATTCCATAATTGTGTGCTGTTTATTCACTGCTTTAAACATAAAACCATTAGATTTTAAAACCACAAAAAAGTAGTTTTATGACAATCTGGGATTATTTCTTCACATTCTTTACATATTAGCAGTTACTTGTAATGTGTTTCCTTTATCTTTGAAATTCCATTCTTGCAATTACAGAGTGGGAACTTTTATAATTCCCCTATTAGCATATTTTTGTCTAGATTCTTTAAAGCATCACTTTCTAGTTGGGATTGTTTCTCTAAGAGTTTGTAAAGTGGAATTAGCCCTAAGTACGTCTGATATCTGATAACTGCAAAATTCCCTGTTTATTTGGTGAGTTGCTGGATGTTTTCTTCTATATTTGATTTTTAATTTGTTGAATTGTTACTGGACAAAGTATTCAGACAATAAAGAGTTAAAAAAATGGTAAAATTAATGAGATACATAAAATCCTTGCGCTTAAAAGTAAACCAAACTACTGGGTCGAGAAGTCGCCCAACTTGGCACTGGGCGTTTTAAAATTCACCCAATATTGAGAAAGTTAACTAATTAGTATTTTTAACGCGTGTTTACCGTTGTAAACGTTAAGTGCGATTTGCTTTGCATCGTGTGTGAGACGAATATAACCAGAACCTTTTTCAGGTTCAAACTCGTCTTCACTTACTAAAATAGTGACAGGAATATACAGGACATTGTCACTAATCATTTCTATATCACTCATATTTATAGTTATTACACTGACTTATGTTCTAAATGAACGACAAAAGAAAAATGATGTTCATTTCAAATAAACTTTTTTCACACAGAAGTCCATTTAGTGATAATTTGATATTGAGTACACATTATCCTTTTACCTGAATACAATTCCAAGAAATTTTCTAATCTCATAAACACTGGCTTTAAGTACCTAGAAATTTGTAGTTCTGAATACCTTGTATCATTTAGTAAAGTACCTTTAAACGTTGGATAGAATTTAAAATTAAACCTAATGTAACGAAAGACTAAGGGCCAGTTCTACAATTCAGGTATAAATTGGAGAATAGTTATTCTGAGTATAACTTATACTTGAGTTTATTCCAAGTATAACCTTTCAAGGATCTGATACCATAATCTGATATCTTCAAAATTAGTTCAAATTGTTATTGACAGCGACATTTGGCATTTGTCACAAGTGTA